AAATCCGCAAACCCTAAACCCAAAACCCTAAACCCTAAACCCTAAATCCCCAAACCCCAAACCCTAAATCCCAAACCCTAAACCCTATAAACCCTAAATCCCCAAACCCTAAACCCTAAACCCTGAACCCCAAACCCTAAACCCTAAATCCCCAAACCCCAAACCCGAAACCCTAAATCCCCAAACCCTAAGCTATAAACCCCCAACCCTAAACCCTAAACCCTAAATCCCCAAACCCTAAACCCTAAATCCCCAAACCCCAAACCCGAGACCCCAAACCCTACACCCTAAACGCTAGATGGTCCATGTCCGAGGCTCCGGCTTCTGGTTTCATGGCCTAGGGTCTTTCGATGTCTCAGGATTCAAGTTGAGGGGGCTTGCAGGCTTTGGGTTTCGGTTTTAGGGTTTAGGGTTTTAGGATGTAGTGTTTAGGGTTTAGGTTTTTAGGGTTTTGGGTTTTGGGGTTAGGGCTTTGCTTTAGGGGTTTAGGGTTCTAGGGTTGAGGGGTTTAGAGCCTTAGGCCTTTAGCGTTTAGTGGGGAGGGTTATATTTCAATTTAATATTGGGTTCCTCGGCCAGGGCATTGGGCCCATGGGAATATACAGACCTGAGTATGGATTGTATGGTATTATATGCGCAATAACGAAAGCTAAAGAGTTTCACTTATCCATAGATATTTAGTTCAGCACTATCTCAAGCAAAGGCCAGGATATTGAGGTCTTCGGTTCCCTTCTATGGGGTCGGGGCTCAGGCTGTGGGGACTAGTGTTTTGGTTGGTTTGCAGGGTTGGTCATGTAGGATTTGGATTTGGAGTATGGGAGTTCGGGAAAAGTAAAGGTGCTGGCTCTCGATTGGGTCCTTATGCCGTTAGGTTGGTGTAATGGGAAGTGTGCCTGAACGTCTGGTCCATGTCATATTCAAACGAATGTGTTTCTAGCCTTATAACCTCGTAGCTTTTGGAAGCCTTAGGGTATCCTCTGCGAAACGCTGCCCCTGAATTGAGAGCCTATTAATACCCTTTAAGTACGGAACATAGCTTAAGTCATAATCTGTTGCGCTTGATTTCTTAATGCATATTCGTGAGTTAAGGGGTATTGAATTGGGCTCTCTGGGATGATCTGCATTGGGCACCCCCGGTGAATAGACTTCCAGTCTGGCCACGGCTGTCTGGAACTGTATCATGGTGGCATACTGCTGATGTGCAAAGGCAAACACCTGCTCTTGTAGACTGGAGGATTTCCATAGTTCCTGTAGTTCAGGGCATTTAAGGCGACGAAGGTGGTTGTCCACCAGCGGTGGCTCCATAAGGATCAGGCACAGCATGTGTAGTCACACATCCTCCGAGCCGATATTTCGGAAATACAGCCCCCATGACCAGACCTTGAACCAGCTCGGTTTGAGCGTTATCCACTTCTAGAGTATAACCTGTAATTAAGCTTGAGAGTTTAGGGTCGTCTGGAGAAAATGATCCAATGTGTTGTGCTGTCCTGCTTCTCTTCGGAGGATATGATTGCCTCCACCTTTGGTGTCGTCAACTTCCTGCCGTGCCCTGGGCTGCAATTCAGAGGTATCCCCTAAACCCTAAACCCTAAACCTTAAACCCTAAACCCCAAACGCTAGCCGTGGATTTTGAAGGCTTTACGGGGTTGACGTCTCGCAGTTGCTCGAGATCGAGGTCGGCGTTTCTCACAATGACC